TCCTTCATTGATGGCGAATGTAAGCACGTCTGCCTGCATGCATGAATGCATGAATGCAGGAATGCAAGCATGCGTGTAGCAATGCAGGTAGATCTCCTGTCTCAAACCTGAACCCTCATGAAGCGATGGCGGATAGTCCCCTGTCTTGACCCCGACCCTTCATCAGGCGATATCGGTTGGTCCATTTCTTCCCCGACCCCTCAACACGCCGCAGCGGTTCACTTCATATCTTAAACACGATCCGTCATCTACTCACTTGCGGGCGATATCTTATCATGATTCCGCTCCCTCATCAGGTGATGGCGCGCTTGTGCTTGAATGCATGTATGTCTGTATGCCTGTACNNTGCATGCATGCATGCAAGCATGCATGGACTGTATGTCCTTAGTGTGTATGCATGCAGGCAGGTCGATCTCATTGCATATCCAACCTGACCCCGCCTTAGGCGATGTTGGTCCCACATCTTGACACCGAACCTTCACTAGCGAATGGTCCCATTTCTTTAACTCGACCCTCACTCGGCGACGGCGGTTGATTTCACATCTTAAACCCGACCCGTTAGGTACGAGGTGGCGGGCGATACCATGTCTTGAATCAGCTCCTTCATTGATGGTGAATGCAGTTGTTCTCATAGCTCTTGGTCACGGTCCCATTTCTTTCAGCCGACTCCTCACTAGGCGATGCTGGTTGGTTTCATACCTGAAGCCCGAGCAGTCATTATCATTACATACCATGTCTTCAATTCGCTCCCTCATCAGGTGATGGCGCATGTGTGCTGTACACATGCAGGTGGATCTTATATCGAAAACCAGAATCTTCATTAGGCGTTGGCAGTTCGTCCCATATCTTGACCCCGACCCTTCCGTAGGCGAAAGCCTTTGGCAGCATTGCTTTAACCCGACCCCTCACCAGGCGATGGCGCTTGATTTTCATATCTTAAACCAGATCGGTCATTATCATTGTTCTTTTCCTACCAAGGGGCTGCTGCAGTCGATCCCATATTAAGCTCGCTCCCTCACTAGGCGATGGCGCAGGTATGTAAGTATGTATGTACGCATGTATGCAGGTGGATCTCATATCTGACTCCAGACCCCTCACCAAGGGCGATGGTTGGTCCCATAGCTTGACCCTGACCCTTCACTAGGCGATACCGATTGGTCTCATTTCCTTGACCCGAACGCTCTCCAGGCAATTCTGCTTGATTCCATATCTACACCCGATCCGTTATTATCATTGCGCGATGGCGGTTCTTTGTCTACCAATGGGCTTTTTGCGGTCGATCCCAAATCTTAAATTCGCTCCCCCACCAGGCGAGGGCACATGTGTGCATGCATGCATGTATGCAGGTGGATCTCATATGGAAAACCCGAACCCTCAATAGGCGATGATTGGTTCCATATTTTGACCCCGACAATTCAGTAAGCGACGGCGACTTGGTGCCATGTTTGAACCCGACCCCTCACTAGGCGATAACAACTGGTTTCATATCTTCAACAAAATCCATGAACGAATATCATTACGCGATGGTGGTCGATCCCACATCTTAAACTCGCTCCCTCGTTAGACTTTGGTGCTTTATCCAACAGTTGAACCGAACGCTCATGGGGCGCCATAATCCCGACCCTTCATCATGCGATGGCGGTGGATCCCCCAAATTAAACCCCAAGCATTATTAGGCGAAGGCGCTTTCACCCGCTTGGTCCCATATCTTTAACCCGACCCTCATTGGTATGGCAGTTGGTGCCATACTATCTAGACTTGGCGATGGCAGTTGATTTCATATCTAAACGCGACCCTTCATTACGCGATGGCGGTCGATCTCTCACATCTTAAACTGGTGTTCGTCGGTGACGCGCTTGATCCCAGAGTCTTAACCCCCGACCCCTCGGCGATCGCGGTTGGTCCCTCGGACGTCCGACCTCTCGTCAGGCGATGGCGCTGGATCCCATGGTGCCAGGACCCTCCCATTAAACGATGGCGAGTGATACCCGCTGTATTTAGCCCGACTCTTTATTAACGCGATGGCTGCTAGTTCCATATCTGGACCTGGCGATGGCGATTGATTTCAAAGCAGTGACCGTCCTTCATCACGCGATGGCGGTCGCATCTTAAACTCGCCCCCGCATGGCACTGTGGAGCATAATCGCTATGTTGCCGCTCCATGTCTTGGCTCCCATGTTATCTTGGACCGCCCCCTGATCAGAGGATGGAGGGCGATCCCATCTCCTACTCTCACTAGGGTCCATCAGGGTCTTTGCAGAAGCAAGCCGACCAACGAGCCCATTTCCAAACGCCCACGGGCACGCCCGTCGAAAGGACGATACTACCCACTGCACATGAACCGGAGTCCGACATCACAAACCCTTCATCTCTGGCACCCAAACCTAAAACTAGACCTGAACCGCGCCTGTCTGGGAATTGTTGCGACACTTGACAAGAATTTGCGTTCATGCTAGGGGTCTTCGGACGGGGTTCACCTCTTCATGCAGGTCTCGGTACATGCACAAAAAGGTTAACATCACCAGATTCATTGTCGGCGACTTCGTCGGGTGTGAACGACGCACCAAGGGTTGCAGCACCGCCACTTGCTCTGGTGATGCATGCCATGGTCTGGCAGGGGTCTGTGCCAAAGCCTTCTGAAACCAGCTGGGGCAAAAGTGTGTTTGTGCTCCCGAATTGATTTCGAGTTCTGTCTGGCTCATGCAAACAGCTGCCGCATTGCTAAGAAGGCTCTGTGGGTGGCTGGAGTTATGCAGGTGCAGATCTCCAAACAGTGATAGAGCGCGGCGATAAACCACGACGACCACGAAGACCAGACCAGGATGACCAAGACGACCACGACAATCAGGACCACCAGGACCACCATGACGATCAATACGGCCAGGATGACCGCGACGACCAGGACCAAGAGGAGACCACCAGGAGATCACGAGCAGATCCCACGACACAGGACCAGGACCACGACCACCACCACCAGAATCGTTCCCCCCATGTGCTAGCGGCTAGCGGATTCGGAGACATGACCAGCATGCCGCCTCTTATGTACCGGGATTCAGGAGCACAGGCAAAGGCTTCGGAAATCTGGCCCCATTCAGAGACATGACCGAAATACTTCCCATGCTCTGGCGAGATCCAGAGATTCCGAGGACAGAAAGAGGCCATTGCGCGGGAGCGAGGCTGAGTAAATAATGAGGCATGAATCAATGAACCCAATAAGATGCACCGCACCGTAAAGGGCCCGCGTCCCGGCATGTGCGCCTGGAGCGTGCGCCTCACCCCTACAAGAGCCCCAGTTCTCTTTCCACCCAACGTAAGAACCCATAGTGACCATAGTGTGCCACGCCGCTGCAGGAAAATCAAACCTTCGGGCCAAGTGCTAGAAAAAAGCTCTCGTCCTCGGCGGCCACTCGCAGCAAGTCTGTTACAAACTCGGCCGACTCCTCGCTGCATTCGCATTCCACCGAATTTGACCGGCGTCCCGCTTAGACACCCGTCCTTGCTTAAAGGCGCCCACGACGGTGGATCAAACTCCAGCGGGGCGTGCACATTGGACGGGGGATAGAATGGTTCCTGATTTCGCGATGCAGCAGCCATCTGCGTGCTGATGCCAGTACTGAATCACAGCCTGGGTACGTATCCAGCAAGGAGCGTAAACATGATAACGCCAAGGGCAAAAACGTCAACCGGTCTGCCATAGTCCTCACATCTTGAGGAGGGATGCGCATCAAACAGCATGAGAAGTGAAGCATCGTGACAGTGTCGATGGACAAACGAACGGGCCACCTGCTCAGACAGGATCTCTGGTGCCATGTAGCCATGAGAGCCTTGTAATCCTGGCCCGCACTTTTGGAGCCCTTGCCTCTACAAAGCAATACCGCATGGGCTGAGGCTCCGGACCAGCGAAATGGCAGAGGAAGGGCGCCTACGGTTTCGGTAGTAGCCACCGGCTTCAGAATGCAGCTCGAGACAAGTGGCCTTCCGCGGGCACTCACGTGCAAGGCCGAAGTCACCCAGCTGGACAACCAACCTAGAGAGCTACCGATGTTCAATCTCCAAACGGAGCATCGTCTCTATTTGTCAGTGGGCCCGACTCCGACTGAGAACCCATCCCGGGCCCTGCTGGAACCAGGAAGATGTTGCGCGGTTTGACGTCGCCGTGCAGTATGTACAGATCCTGCCGTCCGGATCGGCCGGGCTGGGCGTTTTACAGAATGTGCCGCGACGCTCCGCCTGGTGAAGATAGCGAAGGCCTGCCGCGGCCGTTGCAGAAGCAGCGAGTTTGTAGAAGTTGCGACGAGACTTAGCGACGCCTTCCAGAAGTTGCCCACACAACCTGGCGGCCTGTGCGATTTCCATATATGGAGCTGCAAAAGCCAAGGATTTGCAGCCTGCTTCTCGGGCAACATGCCCCGGGGTCCCATGGCCTTGATGGACGTTTTTCAAGTCAGTTTGCAACCAAACAAGCCACGCACATCCTGAGCGTCCGACCGCATGGAGATCGCCTCCAGCAGCAAAGGGCATGACCAACACAACCTGCAACAAGTGTCGGCTGATCATCGACTCTCCCTTGTTGGAACCCCCGAAAATGCCTCCGAGGGTGTTTCCGCTGCGTACAGAAGTGGCCTTTGCAATCGCACCCCAAAATTCAAGGATGATGTCTATTGCAAGGGATCAAACACTCGACCGAAAGGAAGTTCGGACAGTTTAGCGTGCTCAGCGTGCTCGGGCCTTTGACTTCGAGTGCCTCGATCTGCACCGGCCTCTTTACCAGCATCAGTCAGAAATGCCCCCTCGTTCATTCCAGCCTGTTGGAGGGCTGTCGATGTGCCGGACCGCAGTCTGGGTGGTTCTGCCTCCTCCCCCACTCTGACCCGTTGACTTCCAGTGAACTAAATTTTGTGTTCGAAGCGATGGATGTTGCCTTTGTCGATACTCTTGGAATCTGAGTTCTGGACACAGTGTTGTCGTGCGCCAGCTGACTTTGTATCTGGATTTCCTCTTCAACGAGTCACTGCTGCGCACAGCATTTCTGAGCTAACGGGACGCTTCCTCCTTGATCGTCGCCACCTCTTCTGGATCCTCATCCAGTCTGGCGGCCTTCACACAGCACTTTACCTTCTCCATGTGGATGTAGTGTCACGAAATGGCGGCAGATGCAGCTCTTTTTCTGGTTCTGCTTGCGGTGATAAGTGTCTCTCGAAAAGAATATGGCAAACCCCTGATGCGCAGGTGTGACACTTTGCGCAGCGGCAGCAATCTCTACAGGGCCATTCCGTCCAACAGCGGCACGTCGCAAACCTCGGCCATATGCTCCGTATACTGCCGGAGCTTCTCGGGCCAATGTATGCCCTTTACAAGTGTGAGCCTTCGCAAAGTGGGGAACAAAGTGATGTCGTCGTAGGAATAGCCACCTTCGTTGACGGAGGATGAGCTGTGGAGCATCTCGCTGAGCTCCGGGAGCTTCGAATTAAACCTTGGAGTTGTCACCACACGCAAGCCGTTTTCATGGCCTTTCTTAGCCGCTTCACCGGCTTAGCCTTTCAGTCCTAGAGATGCTGCCAGGCTAGCCGAGAGGCTCTTCCATCAGCGGCTCGCTTGTTGCAAGGGCTTCCTCGAAGGTCATGCCAGAGAGCTGGTGATTCTTGACCCAAGTGGCGCGAGCAGCTTTGGTAGAAAACTCGGGGTACAAGGCCATCGCATCTCGAGGCCTCGTGATCTTGCGCAGGAGATCTTTGTTGTCACTCAGCCACTTGGCAATATCTTCCCGGCCGGCTGCCTTTGCCAGAAGCGGAGAGTCGTCCAGGGCATCGACCTTGGGTGCCAAGACGCCTGCACCTAGCTCCAGCCCTTGGCCGAAACAGACGAATGTGAAGTAGAATATCTGGGAAATGCTCGGGAGCCGAATTAAACCTGGAAGCCCCAAATTTCAAAGACGTGAAGGGTCATCCAAGCAGCAAACAAGAATCTCTTACCAGCACCCACCAATGTAACACCAAAAAAGTTACTTGCAAAAGCACCGACCTTCGCAACGATGTCCAAAGATTCGCCCATAGCTTCGCCGTCAATCTCCATAATCGGAAGAACCTTTTTGCCAATCATCTTGGTAGGGGTCACAACATCATCGTTCATCAAGAAGTCCAACTTGAAAGGTGTTTTCTTTAAGCCGAAGATCATCCTTGCACGCACGCAGTATGGACAATGGTCGTAGACATACAGCGTAGGAACCTTTGTCTCAAGTTCTTCAGCGGTCGCAGAACGACCCCACTCACCAGTTGCTCGCCTCGCCACTCCAGGCACCCAAGCCGAAGGCCTGGTGCCGGCAAGGAGCGGGAGAGCTACGAGAAGCCCAAGGACACATCCGCTCCAAGGGCGCGAGGGGCGTGAGGCCTGCAGCCGCAGCCGGGCCATGGATGCCATGGCGAGCTTTGCTGCCGCTTGAGCCAAGTTTTCAGAACGAAGTCTCGGCATCCGCGCATCTGCACACGCAGCCTCGCCTTGACAACAACACGCTGGTCCCGGTCCATGTTATGGCCCAAGAGGACCAGGTTGCAGGCATCTCCCTGCACTCCAAAGCTGAAGGGTGGAAGGCCAAGAGAGCGTGCGCGGGCTGCTGGGCTCCCCCACGCCACCGTGACGCCCATCGTGCAGCACACGGAGCGCCCCCTGTAGAGAAGTCACATGACATCGCATCGGCTTATGCGATGCAGCACAGGTTCGGGACCTTCAAGTTGAAGTTGCCACTCAATGAAAAGGATGGGGCACACTCGCACCATGGACAGACCTCTAGCTGAGGCAAGGCGGAAGAGTATTCAGGAAATTCAGGCTCTCTGCAAGGTCGGCACCCTGTCACATAGCGACAACGCTTTAGTGCAAGATCGGCACACCACCTGCATCCCACGATCTCTGCACTCACGCTCATGCGCCACACATAGCCACACATGAATGCCGCCTCTGCTTTATGCACAGACCTTTCAGAGTTCACCTCTCGCGAGGAACCATCGGATGCAGCCTGAACAGCGTGCACTGAGCTTGCACAGGTGGGCTTCGGTGCCTTCCTGGCCCAAAAGTCTGCAAAGTCGCACCTTGAACGAGGCCGAAGCCTTCTTTGCCGGCAAGTCAGGCTGGAGAACCCGCTTGGCCTTCCCAAAACATGCATCGTTCAGAAAGGGTTGCAGTGCAGGACGTGAGGTGCAGGCACAGGAAGATGATGCCATTGCAGCAACTGCAGCGGCATGCCAAAGCTTCGATGGGATCCGATCTGTCGCGTGCTTGTTGCTGTTGCCCTGTGCAAATTCGAGGCTTCGTCTGAGGTCGCGAGGAAGGCTTAATGTGGCTTAACCCTTGGACCCTTGGACCATGGGACCTGCTGAAACTAGGATTTGTGAGCTTGAACTTGAACTGAATTCCTGCGCAAGCTGGCAAGATGTCGCATCTCCGTGATGTGCCACCATTCAAGAAAATGTCAGGCCTTGCGAGTTCGCGGTGCAGCCTGCAGCATACTGCGATCACAATCCCTCGAGCAGGAATGGCCAACGGCAGTGCTGCTATGCCATGACGCGGCAGCACAGCAGAAAGAGCCCCCGGTTCTCGCAAAGGCCTGGTACTTGAAGCTGGTGGATGACTTGCAGAGCCATTGCACGACCTGAAGTAGGTCGCAGGGCCGCAGGGATCCGCAGAGAGGCAGAGGAGGTGCGGCCGCCTTTCCGAGGCTCCCACACTTCCAAGCCGCGGCTCGGAGGCAGCCTGGCTCAAGATCCACCACAAACCACCAAGCAAAGCAATGCAAAGCAATGCAAAGCAAAGCAGCTCCGTGCGCCTGGGAAGTCTCGCCCAAGCGCCCCAAGGCACCATGCAAGAGGCCCAGCGCCTCCTCCTGGCTCAAAGAGAAATCAAAACCGAGACGGATCGCTCTCAAAAAAGCACCTCGCTCGGCTTGAAGTGTGCCCAACCGCCGCGAAAAAAGAGGTATTCCGTCATGAACGTCTCCCTCACGCAAGCGATGACCTCCTGCGGGGAAACGTGGCCAGGGCATTCCTGATTCCTCTCGTGTCGCTTCCACGGAGTTGCCGGATCCTCGGAAGCCGCGATCTCGACGACCGGTGCCGCCTCGGTCAACCAGACAGTAGCAGACCACCTCGGAGCAACCACCGTCGCAGCTGGTTCACTTGGACGCTCGCAGAGGCAGCATCCGACCCTTTCACCTCGACGACTTTAGCACCAGAACAAGAGCTCCAAACACTTTCACCTGTTGCTCTTTCGAGTGCCGTGCTGACACACTGTCGCTTGTAAACCTCTCTGACCTGCCGCAAAGGACCCGAGCAGTCCGATGAAGCTCAAAAACCGGACCCGGGCATCCAGAGCTGGGACAGGCAGTCAAGGCAACTGCACAGTACGACATACTACAAGTGCCAGGAAAAGCCTCTTCTTCTCGATGGCTGTTGTCGCGGTACCAGGCTCCACCGGCCTCAAATTGAGACTTCGTCTGGACATCCCAAAGCTGACACTGCGCAAAGCGACATGTGCTGGAACTTGGAACATGGCGCTGCATCGTCGTCTGACGATGCCTCCTGAGGAGAAGGATCCAGCAGGTCCAGGGACACATTGCCAGTCGCTCGCCGCACCTCGGCCGCTCCTTCTGTGTCTGGCAAGTTGGATCGGTACCTGGCAGTGCACTCTCGACCGAGCACTGACACCCACGTCACAATGGCCTCAACAGTAAGCGGTCAGTACCCCAAGCAAACCAGTCACAGAAGAGTTGGGCAAGCTCTTGATTCATGTCCGATCAGGGGGGGGCTGGAAGGATCTATTGGGTTCCTTCCGATAAGTCTCACGAGCCACACTGCCTCGTTCCTCTGTCGAGTTGGGTAGCCACGCACCAAAACACTCAGCTGCACAGCGTTCTACCGCGCCACTACCCGGAGACGATTCGATGAAGAGAGGCCGACCCGAGCCAGCCAACGATGTCACGAGAAATAAGGATCTGTGCTTATACTACTCGCCACGAAGTTGACACACCGTTTCGCAAGTGTGTCAACATTTTCTGGTGGGATCTGACGGACACGAACCCGCCAGTGACCAATCCAAGCTGTCTGACGTGAACGGCCCCTTGAGGCATGCAGAAACTACGCCTTGAATGGCATTCCGCTTTGCAAGCTGGGGCAACTGCCTTTACTGTGAAAGGATGCGAGTCTTTTGCGTGCGCAGTGGGCTGACAAAACACCGCAGTCGGTCCTCGCACCTCTGCGAGTCTAGGGAGTCCAAGCCAAGGGGCCTCTGCTTGATCTGCCTTTCCTCCCTCGCTTTTTCGGCCATGCGATTCCATGCCTCTCAGTGCAAAAGAGAGCGGGTCTCAGAGCGGAGCAAAGGAGCTCAGGACCTCGTCCTGCTCGACGGCTGCACGCTGCGCATACGCCAGCTGCTTGGCTTCCCGCTGCTCCCATTGAGCCTCGCTGCTGCTAAAGACATCCTTCCTTCTTTCGGAGACAGGCGCCTGCTTGCGGCGCAGCTTGAAATCGTATTCCGCGGCTTCCTGCTGGTACCTACGAGGCAGGCCCCAGGCTGCGGCATGGTGGACATGTGGACACGAGGCACTTGGCCGTCTCTGCCAGAAGCCAGGTGAGCAGGTCTTCTTCCCTGAAAGCGACATCTTAGGCTGGCGCGCAAGAAGAACACCGGGGCTCCCGGACTTCTTCTTGGCTTCAACGGCTGCCTGTAGCTCAGAAAGCTTTCGCCACGTGATTTTGCATGGATTCGCTGGGATGCCGGCCGTGGTAGCTGCCTGCTCGTACTGGACACGGCGCTGTCGCCGCTCCCTTTCCTGTCGCCCCAGTTCGAGGTAGCGGGGTCAACCTGCCTGTCTAATGTATGATCTTCTCTGCCCTTGTGCCGGACTCCACACTGGAAAGCACGGTGCATTCGTGGACTCGACAGACGTATGCACGAGGAGTGGAACCGATACGGTCTTAGTCAAGAGGGCCGAGCCGTAAAGTAAGAAGTCAAGCTTGCGTAAGCTGTGCCGTATCCCTTCGTGCAGACGTGAGTCATTGTCTCTCACTTGCAACTCCAAGACTTCTTCACTCAGTCTAGTCAGTCACGAGGGCTAGTGCGCTCTGAAGGAGGCCCCGTTTAGCAAAACACACCAAGTATTGTATGAAACATGGGGAAGCGATTTCGCTGGAGCTTTTACACTGAAAAACTCTTTGGCAGCGGTCGGACAAAAAGACCTCCAACCTTTAGATTTCCAGGAAATGCCTCGTATGCTCAATTCACCAGAAGCGGAGCCTGCCTTACGAGCGATGTCCGTCTGCCGCTTTGTGTTCCGAATCTTTTCCATTCCTGGTGGACTGTCCTAGTAAGTAGCTCTAAGCCAGCCACTGCTTGCAATGCTGAGCAGGTCACGCTTGGCAGATTCGATCTGCAGGCGAGCCTCAAGACATCTCAGGACGACTCCCACACATCAAGAATGCACGACGCGAGCCTTGCTGGGAAGCTTCTCTTTCATTTTCTCGTGAAGCTCCTGACAAGAGTGCGAGGTGAGGACGAGCAGAAAGACTGTAGGACCGGATAGCACCTTGAGGGTCGCAGCCTCAATGGTTGCCGTGTCACTTCCCGAGTGTTCGGACCTCAAACAGGGGGCATCTCAGGCATTGCAAGTGCCACTACAGAAGCTTAAAGCAAATCCACAACGAATTCACCTCATTTTGGGGACCGAACGTGTCGATACCAATCCGCTGGAGGTTTTTTTCGAACCAGGCAATTCCGTGCTCCTTCTGGGCCGGACCGCAAATATTCTGCACACCTTTTCAAACGCTGCTGTCCTCATCCCCTTCCCTGAAACCACAGTCTTGCGCATAGTGCTCGCGAATGGCAACTATCCTGACATCATGGCTGGGAGCCCAAAACCGCGGACCGGCATGTTCCTGTCACAGCGTCACGGCACCGCAATTCCTCTGCTGATCTCTTCGGATCATCTCTTTCTCGAAGTTGAGGTCCTTAACAGCCGCGCAAGAAGGCATAACCATCTGCAATCTTGATGACCGAATAAGTCTCCAGCTTTCTCGAGCAGGTTGTACTTCTTCTCTTGCACACCCTGCAGTCTAGCGCAGCTTCCCAAGAAAGCAATGGGCTGATGCGACTATGCCTGCCAGTGCTGCTCCCCAGCTTTCCTCGCAAGTTCCTTCTGAGCCCTGCTGCTCTCCCTGGCACCAAGGTCTCAGGTGTGCTGACATGATGCGATAGACTGGTAGCAGAGATAACCTCGCTGGGCTGACATCTTTCGCTGCTGGGCAACCCTAAACTCCTGCACATTGGCACTCCTTTCCACCATCTCCTGACTGCGGGCTGGGTGGCTGGGCTGCCCAAATCAGCACATGCAGAAACCGGGGCTAATGGCGAAGGCCTCGTATTCTTTCTCCCGGGCGCTGCGCAGCTGCCTGGTGTGTTCGTCCACGAATGCCTCGTGAGGATAGGAGGACACAAAATGACACAGAATCTTTTACGCACCTTGTGTAGTGCCCCTGCCACGCCTTGTTGTGCACCTCGTAGGGATATCGCTGATCTATTGGACGAAGGGTTTTCACCCTCTGGTCGAAAAAGTTCTCCTGGGGGCGAGTCGCGAACCGCTCGCGTGCAAGCACCTGCCGCACTGCAGGTGCCTCCTCTTCAGTTTTCACCTGCTTCTGCAGCCGCGGTCGCCCAGCACCCCCTGTTGCCTGCGGGCCATCACGCCTGGTGAAACGTGCGCTTGCAAGCAAGGCAGGCAGGAGCCTGGGCTGTGGCCATGGTCACAGAGCCTTTGGCCTCCGAACCAACAGGGCAGTGTCTGTGCAGGGAGAGGCGTTTGGCCCCATGTCCTTGGTGCTGAGCACCCGCCGCAACTGGTAGAGGATCCTGCGGTGCCACAGCGTGTTGGAGACGGCATACGGGTCGTGCACGCGCGCGCGTTTCTTAGCCGAGCCACCGCAGAGAAGATCCTCGGTCTTCGTCCATGATCTCCTCTACCTCTCAGCTCTACAACAAAGCTGCTTGATGACTCGAGCGGAGGTGGCCTGGTCGTTGGACAGTTTCACGCCGAGCTCACCGACCTTGGATCACAGCAGATGGCACGTACTCTGCCAAAATTGGAGACGTCCTGTGCTGCAGGCAGCTTCTCTAAGGGCCTGCTGCACCATAGAAAAGTTCTGCCTCGAGGTGCCGCCATGCAAAGCATGACCCTCTTGCAACACTGGCAGTACATCTGTCAGCATCTACCAGCTGCCTTTTAGCAGCCAGGTGAGATTCATCCACGAATTCCTCCTGACGGTAGCAGACAAAATTTCCAGGTGTTTCTGACCGCTTCACCGACTCAGGCCCGGCAAGCAAATGTGACGCGGGTGCCTCGAAAGCTTGCAAGAGGCCGTGCTTGTAAAGCAGCTCCCCGAACAAATACCTGAACTGAGCAGCGCGGCTTTGCTTTCACAAACTGAAGCTGACCAGTCTGACGAGTGCGACTGCCCGGAATCCAAAGAGCCAATGGAAGCTGTTCAGCAGAACGCTTAGCTTCGTGCACATACCCTCCCTGCTAGCCTGCACCTGCACCGACTCCCTTGCAAGAGTCCAGCACTGGAAGAGGCCCGCACCCATTGGCAAAGTCACGCTCGAATATCTTCACCTATCATGACGGCCCAGCAACAGTCATAGAGCCCTCTCCGTCACAGCGCCACGGGAGAATTAACAGTGTCAACTTCTGAAGAACAGAACTGGGTCTGAAAAATCCAATGTTGTTCGTCAGGCATCCGCTCCGATGATAGAGAAGCCACTTGTTTAACGAATGTTCACTTTCATGAGCCCTGTTGCAGTAGGTGCCTTCCGAGACAGGCAAACATCTTTGTTCAACCTGAACACCAGCGGAGGATGAGCAGTTGACGTCCAAGCACTTGGTCGCAAGACAGGAAAACCAGATGGCTGGGAGTCGCACCAATCAAGCACGAGCTGTGACATGCTACCACAATCGGTTAAATGAAAGTCTGTGAAGAACTAGATCAGTGGGTTAGTGACGGTTGGTAGCTTGGTAAGACTTAGGGAGACTTAGGGCGACAGAAGAGATTGAGATGGGAGCTTTTTCTTCTCAGTGTGGGAAACGAAGCTTGGCTGCCTGGGACTGATGTGCGCCTGCCATCCATCCCTCTTGCCCTTTTCCAAACGGTTGTGACAAGCAGCAAGCACGTCAATGAAGCAACGTCAACACCCATGAAAGCTGTAAGCGGACTGGTTCCTATGTTGAACTTTTTTGCTCCAACGCGGAAGTGAGGGCCGAAGAGCCTGAGCTCCGCATGCTCCGCTGCGCCAAACCCTCCAACTCATGTCCGATGCAACGTGCCTCCGGTCGGCTCAGTGTGCAGAGTGAACATCTGCACCAACCGCCTCTGGACTTCAGCCGGGGCGTATTCGCCACCACAGCACAGCTACGGGGTACCTCTTGGATGCTGCTAAAGCCGTCTTTTTGCAAGTACCGGCGCAGACCTGCCACAAGATATTCCGCTCCCTCTCACACCTTGGGTGCAGTTCAACTCTTCAGGCCTGTTTGGATATCTTCAAGAAGACCGGGGCCCTTGTAGACCAAGCCGGTGTAGACCTCTGCAGGACACGTGGCCGACCGGTGCTTTGGTGGTGACCGTAGCGGTCGAGCCACGAGACGAAGCGAGAAACAACAACCATAGCGCGGTGGACGAATGTGAGTGTTCCCGTTTCGGAAAACGGACACGCCAGTGGAAGGACGGGAACTGGACAACACAGAACGGCTGAGGTACTTTTTTCTGCTAATGCTGGCGGTGTGAGAGCTTCAAGGAGTGATGCACAGCTAAGCCAGACAGCTCAAACGGAGGAATACTGCCTGAATCCGAAAACAGCAACGGCTATCAAGGCTATCAAAGAAGCGATTGCACACCACAAACCGTACGAAGACATTCCCCTCCCAAGCCCGACAACCCAAAGTGCGCGACTGACAAGCTATGCAGCTGAGAAGACTGGATGGTTAGCGATCTTTTCGGACTTGAATGTCGCAGATAAACCAGCACAGGCAAGAACGGAGCTGCGCCGTGCAAACCCCGAACTTCCCAAACCACTGTGATCGCTTCAAGTTCAACATGCCAAAATGCTAAAAGATGAAGGCAGGAAGAACAGCCAAAGTTAATCTTAAAGAAAGCCAGCGGCAAACGCCACATCTCTTGTACCGATGCAAGTGCCAAATTCCCACGGTTCAGGCGTACAAACACCCGAATGTAATGCACCACAGGAACCCCCCAGGTGCGCTAACACGGATGCTTCCCGTTGGCCAGATCTCAGTGGGTTTAGAGCTTAGGGCTGAAACCCTAAAGCTTTACAGGCGTGATGGCGTGCAAGAGCCCCGTAAACAGTACAGACAGTCATGCAGAGTGACCCCAGACGAGACGTTCAATCCCAAGAGTCGGGACGGTTTTTTGCCACACAGTGCTACAGGTAGCGAGAACTGTCGTGGTGAGTCTTCCCTTTCCCGACAGCCCTAGAAACTCTGAATTGACAACGCGAATGAATGCATGCGCAAAGAAAGCTCTAAGCCTTTTCTGCTCGCAAAGCTTGAGCCATGTCGGCAAAGGGTTGTCAGTGCTTGCCCGATCCTGACCAGCTTAGTCTTCAACAGAGCTCTGATTCACACTAGTCTTTCTTTTCTGGTCAGGATTCGGGATCAAAACGACGGCGTTCCCGTCCATTACGTCCAAAATGGATCTATCATAAAGGAGCTTCTTGGTGAGGCCGTCTGCCAGCATCCTGTCTGTAGTTGTCCATGTCACCGTCGTGCTGGCTTCGGCTGGCGGGCGATCGCTGCCCAGCGGGTCTCCAACCGGCTGACCGGATCCACGCCAAAGCTCTTGCCTCAAGGCGCAAAGGTCTATGGCAAGTCGTTTGTCAGCCACTGACCCCGCCGCGGGATTCATAAGGTGCGACCATAAAGAGAAACAGTCAGTGAACCACGCCGCCCGGGTACGGTCCTGGGCCTCTGCCATCCACTGCTCTGCCTGCCCTTTTCCCATGTCACAGTACAATCCATGAATCACCGCACGTAGGTGGTCGGCCTCTGCAGCTCCCAATTGTAGGCTTAGCGTCTCTGCTTGCAAAGTGCTCTTGCTCACACGCTTGATCACCGTGCTGTGCCAGCTGATCAAGTAGCCGGCGGAGCTCATATCCTTCATATAGTTCCCCGGTGCCAGAAACAGCATCCGGCCGCTCTGGCTCCTGTAACCAAGCTTCTTGCCTGAGCCGCTCACGTCATAGTCCGCGGCATAGGAGGCATCCTGGATCGCCAGCACCATCATATCATCAAAGGACAGGGCTCCCGCTGGATACAAGATCCCTTGGTCCCGGGTCCTGCTGGCGTAGCGGACCAAGTTGTTCGCGTCCACGAGGTCCTGCACGGTGGGATCGGCAACGGCCATCTGCAACTTCGCGACTTGGTAGTTCAGGTCCGGCCGACAAACACGCACAAGCCAGGAAAGGCTTCCGATGATTGAACGAAGCTGTCCTTTCTCCTCCGCTGTAGCCTTTGTCGCTCTCTGTCCTTTTCTCCGGGCTTCCAGGGCAATGGGTCGGACTCGGCCCATGAGCTCGGGGCATGAGACATGTATGCCCTTGTCGTCTTGGCGTAGCTGCCTGCCACAGTAACGGAACACCTTCTCTTCCAAAGACCCAAATTTGTAGGTCGCTTGCACGGCCAGCATAATGTTCTGGAAGTCCTGGTCTCCACACCACAGCAGGTCATCGACATGTATAAGAAGAACGCCCTTGACATAAGGCTTGCCATCCTCCTTGTGGCCGGTGAGCACGTAGAAGCCTGGTTCATGGGGCACCCTTCTCAGGCCTTGCTCCACCAACGTGCCATCCAACTTCTTATACCAGCCTCTTGGTGCGTCCTTGGTGCCGTAGACCGTGGTGGATACCACAATGAGGTCGCCTTCTTCCATGTCATAAGGCGTACCCCCTTTTGGCATACTGAGCACCAACTGGCGGTCCAGCTCGGACCCTTGAAGAAAGGCTGCCGAGATGTCTCCAGATCGAAGGGGTCGTCCGGTCGACGCGGCAAAGGACAAGGTGAGCCCCATGGCCACTTGGCTCCCAGTCGGGGAGTCTGTCCTCATCTTTGTGGCGTCCTCCAGGTCGCCCCTCACAACAAAGCGGCTCTTCAGCTTCATCTGTGAGGGGTCGTCGGACTTGTCAATGTCCACCCACCGAGTGGGTATGACCCGAAGGTCTGGGTTAGCGGCCCGCATCGTCTGGAACTCCTCCTTGGTGATCTTGCGCATATTCGTGTAGCCCTTCCAGTTGTCCCACTCTTTTCGACGAGCCTGGTCGATCTGGGCCCGAAGTTCGGGGCTGACCTTGTTGTAAGGAAGTTCTCGTCCGGCACCTTGTTTGGCCACCTTCTTCTTGTACTTCTTCTCTCCACGTTGCGCCAAGAAGGCTCGAAACTTCCGGTGGGCTTCCTTGATGCTGAGCTTGGTCGGTTGCCTAGCGGGAACTTGCTCTGGCGCGGCATAGTGTCCAAAACGGGAAGGTGACCTTGACCTCGGGTGCCCATCTAGATCGTCCGGAGATCTGCGCAGCGCTGCTTGCAAAGAAGACGTACCAGGCAAAGGTGGTGTGGAAGACGGTGTCGGAACCGACAAAGGACCAGAGGTAGACGAAGTCGATGGATTTTCGTGCGTGGTTGTTCCGGCATGTTCTGACTCTATCCCCGGCACTAGCTCGGCCGAAGGACCAGAGGTAGACGAAGTCGAGGGATTTTCGTCCGTGGTTGTTTCGGCTGTCGTCGGCTCTGGCTCGTTCCCGTCTTGCGGCTCTTGCTCTGGCTGTGTTACCTGGCGGGGCATAGCCTCACCCTCCACCGGCCCAGCGTTCTGGAAAAGCTCTGTGGTCGTCTCCTCCAGGCCGGGTGGCGGCTGCACGGCGTCCTGGTCGTTGGTGTCGGCAAGGGCTGGAGTCGACACTGAAGGTGCCGGTCCGTCGAAGTTGAAGTAGGGAACCTGGCCGGCCTCGTCAAACTCAGGAACGTCCTCCTCAAAAGGGAGGAGCTCGTCCTCCTCAAGATCCTGGCGCTTGCGCTTTCCGGAATGTCTGGTCCAGCTGGGTCGCAACTCGAGGGCCTGCCGTCTCCGAATTTCCTCCACCGTGGCTGGCCGCAGGGCTGTCTCAGCCACCAGTACCGTCATGCCCCCATGGACCAGCCAATAGGAAGCCTTGCCCTCCAATGACAACACACGTGCTGGCCCAAACCAACGGCCTTTGCGAAAGTAGGAAACGAGGTCGCCCGTGCGGTAGGGTCCCCGCATCGGATGTGCTTGGCGCAACATAGCTCTGCGCAGCCTTTGGCTCCCGTCGATGTAGACAAAAGCCTCGCGCGCCCACTGCCGAAGAAGGAGCCTTCGACCAAACACGTTGGTGTCATCCGTGTGCTCTTCCTGGGCCCCCAGCTGCTCAATGTCCTTTTCCTCCGTAAGCGAGGTGACCTCTGATGGCAACTTGCCCAGGACCCATTGGGTTGGGCAATAGCCCGAGTGGTTGTAGGACCCATTCTTGACTGCCGCACACTGCTGGGCCGGGCTGTTGGATAATCCTCTTCATCATGTGTTTGAGGATCCCGCCGTGCCTCTCGGTTCTTCCAAGCTGCCAAGGTGCCCGGGCTCCAACCATGCGGATTTGGGTTCCCATAGAAGCCATCAGGGCAGCGAACTGGCCGCGATTGTGAACGCCTTGGTCGCACACCAGAAACTTAGGAGGTCCGAAGGGGGCCAGCCAACTCGACGAGAACATGTCCGAGCAGACCTTGCTGCCTGGAACCCCACCTCCTGCGACTCGCGACGCGACCTGGTACTTGGTTCCCGAATCGACCAAGGACAAAATAGTGTGCTTGCCGCCGGCCGCGTCCACAATCTCGAAGGCATCGCAGCCAACCTCGTGATTGAATTGATAAGGTGGGGCCGAGGTCACGGAACTCGGCTGTGGCGGCTTCTTCTTCTCCAAACAGACCTGGCAACGAAAGAAGCGGCACGCCGAGACGACTGTCGGTGAAGACCCGGCTGCCCTGAGCATACGCATCATGCTCTCGTTCGAGGCGTGGCCTGTCATGCGGTGGAGTCGGCGACTAGCCAGCCGCTGGTTCCGTTCCAGCCGAAGCCACTTCCTCTTTCTTTCCTTTTCGCCCTCCGCCTGTTGAGGTTCCGAAGCTTCTTCAAGGACTTCTTCCCGTTGTAGTTCATGAGGTTGCAAAGGCGGTGGCATAGGAACATCGATCTCGTCTTCCGGGTGGTGAAGCGCATCCAACGTACCCAGTTCCTCGCTCAACTCTTGGCCTTCTTCCACAGCAAGAGCCACTGCACAATTGAGCTCCTGGAGGTCCTCGAACACCCCTTGCAACACCGCCTCGCACAACTGGTCTGGCCATTTGGCTGCAAGCCGTGCTCGCTGGTGGCGTCGTGTCGGCGAGTCTTCTCCGGTCCTGGGAACGTTGTGCGAGCGCCTGCTTGGTGTGCTTGGATGCCGTAAGAACCCCGGACTCCTTGGGCACGAGCTGTCCAGAGACCATGTCGCGCAACCCCCATTGTGATAAGTCCACATAGAGCAGCTCCAGGTCCTGTTCGGTGGCCGGATTGTGCTGCCCCAGGACTTGCTCCAAGCACCTGGTCTCCCAAAAGAGACCGCTCCACGACGACTCCAGAACCACCTGTCTACCTTGGGCGGTGCGCTGCTGAACCATCTGGCACAGCCAGACGAAGGCATCATACCAGTCACGCCGGCCAGCCCTGGTTTTGTCTGCCTGCTCGCCCGGCCTCCAGAGATCGTTTGTGCTCCAGCTGTTCCACGGTAACATCACGGGCGAAACTGCCAACAAGTAGGGGTCTTCTTCTTCAATTCGCGCTTGTAGTCGCTGTCGTGCCGCCGGGTCTCTCAAGTTCCAGCCCGGGGCTTGTAGGTCAATAGGGCTGGCCGTCGGCAAACCATATCCCACAGCCAAGGCGGTCAGAGCCGCGGCTCCAGAACGAAGTAACGGCAGCCGCGAGGAAGTAGTCGAGAGGCTCGTCGGTAGTCGGGTGTGCCTTTGAGCTCGGCCCACATGGCCGCGTCCTCGCGCCCAAGATTGTCGCTGTGCTCCCTCAGGGCCTTTTTCTGACCCCGGCTCAGAACCACCGGCTTCTCCTCATCAAACGCCGCAAACATGCCGGTGCTCTCGTGGTTACGGTCTTCCTTGAGCTCCTCGTGCGCGTGCTCGTAGTCCCGGTAGAAGTAAGTATACCCCTTCCAGGGCCCATCAAGATAGCCGCGGGTGTCAAGCTCGTCTGGCCGAAGTGGGAGCCATTGGTCACGGAACTCGGCCTTCTCCCCGGTGGCTTCCACAATAGCCACGGTGCGCCGAACCGCGCAGTGAAGAACTGACGCTTCAATGTCCCCCTCGGCACTCGGCTCAGCACGCGGATCGTAGAGCGACTCCCTGGGCACCACGTGAACTCGCACCCACACTCCTTCTTGGTGCTGCCAGAAGTCACTCTCATGGACCTCCTCTTCGGCAATGTCCTGGTCGGGCTGGGTCGTCTCTGCCGCCGGCGTGTCCTTCTCCACCATCATGGCAAACTGCTGCTGGTACTGGTCATTAAAGGGGAGAAGCCGAACAGCAGGTAGGCCCTCACGATCTTCCAGGGTCAGGTCCTGGCCAAACAATCGGCTGTGCGCCGTGAGGTTGCCTAGATCCAAGACAATGCCAAGCTGCTTCTGGGCAAAGCAGCTAAGAAGAAGAGGGGCCTCCGAGCCTTCCAGCTCGATGGACTCGATGCTTCCATGGGTCAGGTTGCCGTCTTGCAGCTCCAGGGAAATAGGTATGGTCCGCTTCCCCAAAGCCTGAACTCGGCCGCCGATGCCCCGAAGAGTCTGTCGCGAGGACTGCTGCAAAGGGCAAAACTCATGTCCGCTTGCCTCGACGAACTTCTTCATCCAGAGGGCGCCGTGGCACGTTTGATTGCACCCTGAGTCGAGGACTGCCAGAAGATAGTCCTCCGAAGGTGGGTGATCGTTGACCATATAGGCGGTGGGTCCTCGACCTCTCTGGAGAACCACATAGTGGCGAAACTGCCTCAAGGACACCTCCACCAAGTTCTTGGTCTGGGCCACAATCCAATCGGCATACTCTGGGTAGTCCTTCATCACCTTCTCAAACGTGTGCCCTTTGTACTTGCCGGACTGGAGGACGGAATTGCCAGTCACATTCTCCAGGTGGGCCGCGGAAAGTTGGCCGGCCTGATCTCCACTCGAATGGGATGCTCCAGGACGGGCTTTTGGAGCCGTTTGGCGAGGAGCATTCATCGCACTGCCGGCCGCCATGTTCGCCCCCAAGGTTCGGGCGGCCTCTCTCTGACGGTAGACGGCCGCACACTTCTCAACGATGGACGGCAGACGGTCCAAACCCATCGGCACGCCACCGCTCTCCTGAATCATCACCACGGTGCCGGCAAGCTCCAGCACCTTAACGGCAGGGGTGTCGGGTCCCTGCTGGAAATTCCCAGCCAGAGTGCCGCCGAGGACGTCGCTAAAAGTGCTGGGCTGCTGGTCAACACGACCCTCTTTCCTCATGCCACAGTCTTGGCAATGCCACTTCCACACGTGACTGTTGGTTCCCTGGCGACTCACACGAACGTGGGCACAGTCCTCGGGCTTCTTGGGGTACACGACCGGAGCTTCATCCATCTGCTCCTTCTTGCGTCGTTCCAAGACCTTCTTGCAGTCGAGGCACGTCTTGAGGTAGAAGTGCTTGTTGGTCCCCTTGGTGGTGAAGCGAGCGTGCAGACACTGTCCTGCACTGGATCCCCGGGCTCCAGCTAGCACCTGGGGCTCTTTCGGATATGGTGTCTCATCGTTCACCTCGTCGGCCACGACCTGTCCTTGCTCACGTTCTTGTTCCTCTAGCCCGGCCTCCAGCCAGGACTCCGACGGCGAAGCCATGCTCAAAGACTCTGCCTCATCTGTCAGCGAGGGCTCCAAAGGAATCGGAGCTGGGATCGGCTCCATAGGTCCTTGTGTAATCAGAAGCTGTCCCTCGCCCTCGGTGACGTCCATGTTCCTAGCTGCCTCGATCAGCTGGTCCAGCACCACGTCGCTGTTGGCACGCAGAGCTTCTATGAGCATCTGCTGGTCCATGTCCAGACCTTCCACCAGCCTCATATTCACAGGGTGCTCGGGAGCCACCGCCACCATGGCTGAAGACGAAGAGGAAGAAGGAGCCACCAAAGCTGTCCCGAATGTTCTCGGTGCTGTCGCCTGCTCTGTTTCCTGGGAAGAAGAAGGAGCCACCAAAGCTGTTTCGAATGTTCCCGGTGCTGTGGCCTGTTCTGTCCCTCTCGCCCCGCCTTTGCCCGCCTCTGGCCGTCTTCCCGGCCAAGACAACAAGGAGCTCAAAGTCGAAGGCGGGGCCACACCATCCAAAGACGTCGGGGCAATAGGGGCAGCAGGCCTGGGCGGATCCAGGCTCGTCGGTGGCGGCATCTTGGTAAAGTCGTTCTTCGTCGCCATCATCGCTGTCTTGGTGACCTGGTCGGGTTCCGCAATGGCAAAGTAGACCGGCCTCGGTTTGAACGGTCCTCCTTTGCCCTTGCCCTTGCTCTTACTTGCCGCCGTGGACGCCGAGGAGGACGCCGAGGAAGCCGGAGGGGTCGTTTGCCCTTGCCCTTGGGACAGCTGGCGTCATTCGCCCAGTGCCCCTTCTGGCCGCATCGTTTGCACGTGGTGCGCTCCTTGAGGGAGCTTATGCGGGCCTTGCGCTCCTCGATGCTCATCTCTCCACGGAACTCATAGCGCTTGTTCTGAAACCCGTGGTGGCCTCTCTGGGTGGCCTGCTGGCGAAGCATGTAGGCCTCGCCCTCGGATTGAAGAACCTCGGCTGCAAACTCGGCCGCCTCACCGTCCAGCGTCTCGTCAAACCCCTCCTGCAGCATCGCCGTGAAGGCCTGGATCACCCCATCATCTTCCTCGATGTAGTCGAGGTCCGGGGCCGCCTGGTACGCAGAGCTGTGGCCATCGTCCTCATATCCACCAAGGCTCTGGCTCTGGCTGTCCCAGGCTGCATAGGCCTCCTCGTAGGGGTCCTCGAGCTCCTCAAACTCGGCAAGGTACCCATAGCCCTTGCCCTTGCCGCTCTTATAGCCACCCTTGTAGCCGGGCCCCTTGCTCCGCGGAAAGTGGGGCTGCGTCCTCTTTTCTTTCAGGTGAAGGGAGGCATGCTGGGCAACCATCTCCTCACACACGGCCTCTACCGTGAGAGCCTTGCCGACCACGGTGCGGATCATGAGGATCTGGTCATCCGAGAGGCGAGCGTTTTGAAGAACTTGTTCTGCAAGCATCTCCTCGGGCAACTTTATGTTGCTATCTAAATCTTGCAGCATGGACCACCATGTTCGCCGCCGTAATACATACATCGAAACCGGCTCACCGTACTGCCGGCTCAGGGGTCCATGCTCCTTGGCGCCCGCCTTGTACAACTCTCTGGCCTCCTGCTCTCGTCTCGGCCTCAAAGACCGGGTGAGGCACTTGATAATTGAAGACGGTCCTTTGGCACCGGCCAGCTCTTCAGGTGGTATTTCTCTGACCATGTGCAAAGCAGGGCCGCGCAGGCCTTCGACTAGGCGTATGCCTAGTGGCCCGATTTTCTTCAGCTCGGCCGGCTCCATGCTGCTTTCCTTCAGCTCCCGCAACTTCACTCTATACGTGTACTCTTGGAGCTGGTGGACATTGCCGTCATACCTTGGTATGCCGTACTTGCCCTCTGTGGTTTCGCTCTCGGAGGAAACTTCCATGAACTTGGCCCATGATAGGCCTTCCAGCAAAGCCATGGCTGGAAGCGAAGCTAGGGCTTACGCCTTAAGCTGCCTGTTGCGATATGTAAAGCGGGCTCAGCTAGGTCCCTAGAGCAC